TGAACTTCATCTATGTGGAACATGACAAACCAAAACACTATGACGAATAACACCTCACATTATCATATTAACCATATTTGCGGAGTGCCCCGAACCATCATCCGTCTCATTCCACAGCCACATGAAGACGCTACATGTCAGGTAGTTCACAGCTAAAATGTAAAGTAAACGAAGCCTTTGAAGCGCAGACAAGAGTTGCACAAGACCATCTGCTATAACTGATGATATTCGTGACTGTTGTGGATTGGATCATGCAGCAGCTAGAAAAACGAGGTTCCTTTGGACCGATAAGAAGACACTAAGTTATCTGGAGTTCACGAAGAATAGACATCTAAAGTTACACAAACGTGATGTGGCGAAAAGCGACAGGTTGGCAGGAGAGGTAGATAACGAAGATAGGACTTCAAGTGAATGCAAAGAAGACAGAGGTGTTGAAGACAGTCAACTAACAAGAAGGAGCACCAATCACTATCAACATGGGAAATCGGTAATTTCATATTAGTTTGTTTATTAGATGTATCACACAGTGAAACAGTATTATTTACAGGATGACGTTTTTAACAAAATTTATTGTTCATAATCATATATATCAATAAGTGATATGATTATGAACAATAAATCGGTACCATGTTACTTCTTTACTTATCTAGGCACCGTCATTTCAAATACGAGTGAAACGGATGAGGATCTCAATCCAGCCAGGATGAGAAAAGCAAGAAAGACATATATTACTCTGAAATCATTTTGCAAATCTTCTACACTCCTCAGAGTGAAAAACAATTTTCCTATTTTGAACACTTGTCAATGCAGACAGTGCTCCTTTATGGTTCTGAGACCTGATGCGTCACTAAAGGCATTTACAACAGACTATCACAGAATTTCAACAGCATACCACAGCCTTCCATAAAATGATTAGCAAGAGAAGATAAGTAACAAGGAAATTTGGCAAGCAGCCCAAGAACTTATTGACAGACAAATGTGCAAAGGAAAATGAGATAGATCGGTCACACACTGAGGAGACCAACAAGAGACACTTAGAGCCATTTAAACCATCGAGTGTAGCTCACGTGGTAAACGGGTTTAGCATGAGGTCTAGGGTGACATGGGCGAGATCGTTTGGGGAGGAGGTGGGACTTCAGATAAGCCATGGAGCCAGCAATAAAGGGCTGCACAGAGCAGGATGAAATGGGTGTCTGCTGTTAATGACAAATGCGTCACTCGGAACTCAACGGATTACTGATAATTATTATTCCCTCGGGTTCCGAGTGGTGTATAGGGCTTCATCCACACATATCAACTTTGTTCTATTCTCTGCCCATAATCCCACATCTCCTCCTGTCACGATCTCTGCCATGTCACCCTTGATGTGACTACCAACTCGTCGTTACCAATTTGCATCTCACTCAAGCAATGACCTGCAGCGCAATAACATTCAACAGCCTCCATTTTCTCCTACATATTTGTTGAGAAATCGACTCTTGGTTGGTTTTTTCCCAGCAAGAGTTTCTTGTTGCTCATTCTTTATAGTCATTTTGCCTTTAACATGCAACAGGAAAAGGCAGCAGTTCATAATTGCCTGAAACGTTTTGGAAATCCTTTTCGTGACACGCTGGTCGATTCAAGATTCCTTTGAAGTGATCAGCCCACTGTTTTATTCGTTCCTCCTCCTTATTAATTGGGTCCCCCCCCCTTGAACATTTTATTTTATGGGTTTCATCATCTACGTTGATCTCTTTCTTGATAGACACCTGGTTATCTGACACAATGTCCTCAAGACTCTTTTACCTGCGGCCTTCCTTTTCTGCCTCATTTGCTTGCCACTGTGTCGTAGAATTCACTTTTGTCTTTCCTAGAACTATTCTCCACTTCTTTATCCAGTGCAGTGTATGCTGAACTTTTCCTCTCCTTCTATTGTTCACCTTCGTATTGAGTCATCTTCTCTTTCACTATCATCCTATCTTTTATTAGCTTCCAGGTATGTGTCCGTTAAGGGGAATTCTTGTCTTGTCACTTCTTTCCTCCTAGAACAGCTGTACGCGTTTCCTAGAACATCACCTACAGAAAGCTAGTTCCAGTGTTTTTCCACGCAGGTTTCTTCATTGATACCAGGTAGTGTCTCCAACTTTGCTCTGATCTGTAATAAAGGCATGCTTTGTAGTTTTGTCCTTCAGTTTCTGAATGTTCAACTTGAATTGTAGCCTGTCCTCAGTTGTTCTGAGGGACCTTATAGGTTGATCGAACCAGATGCTGGTCTTAGCCCACACCTGCTCCCCTTCTTGACTTTGTATCCAACAAGCTGCGTCTCCACTTTCTTCAGTAACAATGAGATATATTCTATCTGGTTTGTGATGTGTCCGTCAGGCGAAATCCATGTTACCTTATTTGAATCCTTGTGCTTGCACACGCTGCCTTCGATTACCGAATCATTGAAGGTGCGAAAGTATGCGAAGAGTTCTCCAGTATCATTCATTTCGCCGATCTATTGCCTCTCAACCCATAATGAGTTCTCTGCCCGTATTATCTGCAATCAATTTAGCTGGCATTCATATCGTCCATAAGAATTTCAGTGTCAACATTTGGGATGTTGTCCGTTACTGTTTGTAGTCTTTCTTCATATGGGTGACCAGACCAGAGTAGATTAATGACTCACCAATTGAAAATGTTGACGGTCCACATCCATCCCTCTGTTCTCGCAGATTCCCAGCAATTCTATCCAATATCTTCGCATTTATTTGACTACCTGAGCAGCCTTCCTAGCCTCGTACACTGTACGTACATTCCGAGTCCCCATTCTTATTCTTGCTTTCATCGAGGGGAGACACATTTGCTGACTGGCTTGATGAAGGCTTTCACCAGCTCCCTGTGTCATTGCTCCTCCCCAATACCATTGAAGAATAGGTTTGCCTTTTTTACATTTTTTGTATTTAACATATATTTCTTGTGCGTTGAAGTTTCTGTAGCTGATTGATTGGTTTTGTGGTGTAGGGTAGCTAGCTCCACGTCCAACCCTCCCTCTTTATCCGGGCTTTGAACTGGCTAGAAAACTAGCAGGTCAGTAAACTAAGCGAGTCTAAACGGAGTAATTATATTTAATTGAATTTTAGAATTTTCCCGTAGATTTTGTGACTAAATGCGCATCCTGGATTCCGCTACTAGTCACCATCCACCAATTAAAAAGGAGTAATACGTTCAAATAATGAGTGTGAACCAACATAAAGAGTGAATATCATTCAAAGTTCCGTCGGCAAAAATGTACAATTCGCAATTTGTATATGAAATAATCTTTGCAAATTGTTTACAACTATAGGCTGTTTATATTTAGCAAAAAAAAACTCGTTTCTATCAAATACCATTCAACACTGCATGTAATTTTCCTAGCATTGATTCCTAAACGCAATAACAAGCAAACGTACGTGTTACGATGCATCGTCTTCCAAATTTAACGATTTATATACGGTTAAGATCATTAAGGAGACCTGATACATAATGCCAGCCAGTTCAACTTTCAGTATAAGATAATTAATTATACAAGGAATCCGTAAACGTCGTAAAATTAATTTATTTAGCCAGCTTTTAGTATTACATAACTGACCAACCTTCAGATAATAATAGGCTTGAATAAATGTGTGTCAAATAGTCTGAATTTTCACTATTGTGTTTCATTTGAAATGAAACTCCACTGCATAGTGTGCTTACATTTACTACTGAATGTTTATATCAAAGGTGAGTGGAAAATTGCAATGTAAATCTTTTACTTTATACAATTATGATTATTATTCCTTTGTGTTATGAGTGGAACCTTGTGCTTCAACAACACACCTCTATTTTTAGTCCTCCCTCCTCCATATTTCTCTCTAGCTGTCTGCAAGATTACCCATAAACTCTCATCTCTTCATCACACGATCTCTCTTCTATGTCACTCTCGGAATCAAGTTCAACTCGCCGTCTCCCATTCAGGTTGCACGCACTCGACTGGCGTGCGATGTCACTCACCAGCGTCTTTGCAGTGTGTCTTATCTGTCTACATTTGTAATGGCAATAGGTTGTTGATTAGGTAATTACAAGAGTCTCTTGTTACTTATTCTTTCTAGCTACCAATATGGATGGAAGGTAGCTGTCGGCTAAAATTGCAAGGGCTTGTTGGAAACACTTTTCGTGAAGTGTCAAGGTTAGGACTTAAATAGAATGACTGACTTAACGGTACTGTTGAAAATCCGAATTTCGTTCTTTGTGCTGACAGTAAGGGATTTTTCAAACTGATTTCATATTGATGAATATTTGCCTTCGTTTTCCCATTCCGATTTCGATATCCTCATTCGTAGGGCTGACTGTGGTTGAAGGGATGCTGCTGCCTAGTTTATTGAAGGGAGTTACGTCGTTCAAATTTCTTTCGTTGTTAGTGATTAGTACTTGCAGCAGTGAACGTGTCCATTTTAGTCTCCTCTTCCACTTTCCAAGAACATATTTATATATAACTTAAATGTATATATATATATATATATATATATAGTATTTTTTCCCTTTACGTTCCTAGTGGAATATTGGGCTTCAAGCTAAGCTTTAAAGTTTGTGTAGCAGTAGTGGGGTTGGTGGCATTTATCGATAGCCAGATATCATATCTCTGCCAAAGGTGGCGTGAGTAGGCAAATGCGACATGCGCATTTTGCATCCGTGCTCAGATTTCACCAACAATCAGTCCCTTTGGGATGATGCTATACAACTGAAGATTTCTGCTCTATGCGTTTAGAAGCCTCTGAATTTTACCAGCCTCTTCAGCTAGGAGGACTGTATCACCCGCATATTTAAAGTCAACGAGACTATACCGCAGTGACAAATCAACCCCTATGTGGGAGAATTCAGTTAGGGTTAATTCCATTAGTACATCTATGCTGAAATTAAGCAGAAGAGGGGACAGAAGGCATCCCTGACAGCCACCACTAATTGTCATTACTTCAGATGAACAATTTAAAGGCAGAAGACAGACAGCTACAGATACAATTCTTCGATCAATTTATTCGAGAAGACAATATCAATTTCAGAAAAAAGCTTCTTTTAAGATACAAAAGAATATATATATATATATATACGAAATACAACAAGCAATCTTCTTATTGAATGAAAAGCACAAATGTTCAATAATTAATTCTATCACACCTGATTTCACCAACTAAGAAGGTGGCGACGGAGATCTAGGAATAATCATCATCTCTTGAGAAGTCGATGATCGATGCACAGCTGGAGATGGACATGAAGTGTACGATGAATCAGGACCAAATCTGCTATTGTGACTACTTTTCTGTTGAAAAGGATTCGGTGATAAGGGAGTTCGAAACTCCCCAGGATTCAGAGGAGGAGGTGGCTGGGAAGGTTTACGAGATGTCATCACTTGACCTTGTCCAACATGTAAGTTACTTAAACTAGGCGTAGCACCCATCAGTCCGGGATTAGTAAGCGGTGTTCCAATAGGCAGGTGTAATCCATAAGAAGATGATGAAGAGGAGGAAGAGTAGGAGGCGGAATAGCCGGATGAATTCGCAGACGACTGTACAGAGTCGACAGTAGGACGTGAATATTTATTACTTGATTGTGGACTACGTGGAGATGGAGCGATCCAAGCATCTGGCATTTGAAAACTACTGAAATTTGTAAACAGACTATTTGATGATGAAGAGCTAGATGAACTATAGCCGCCAGGTTTAATACCAACTAAATTCGTAGGCGTCAGCGGTAATGCAAGCGAATTCTGAATGTGAAAATATAAAAGGAGAATAAAGGTGATAAGAAATACGATCCAATAAACAGCTTTTATAAAGATACCATTAAATATCTTCAGAGATATGTTTCCACACACACACACATAAATGAGAGTTGAACACGCTATTACTTACTTACTCAACAACCACTTGGAATTCCACGTCCAGTTGGTAATGAGCCAAACCTATAATATGTGAAGGCTAATGATACTCCATCTGACTGGTCAAACCTCGATGGTAGATGGAGTACGAGGTTCAAATTCCCCATGAGCCAGTGATCGAAATTCCAGAACAGGAACCAAGGGGGCATAGCTCCATGTACACACACACACACACACACAGAGGAAATTAAACTCATCATTAATCATAAATCCCTATAGTGCAATCAAAACAAGATGGCTTTCAGCAAAAAAATTGTTTTAGACAACTTGATATGATTATGAGCAGTAGTTTGTGCTCGAAAAGTCATCAGTTAATATTCCTGTATAACAACACTGTGTGATTTATGATAATAAAATCTTATCCATAAAGGAGTTATACTCTACAACAGGGCCCAAGTTTTATACTTATTAGATGGAGAAGTTCACCATGAGCTGACATCAGTTACAGAACCACTGGAAAACCTGGGAGTACTGGACAGCTGTTTCGTCCTAGTCTGGGACTCTTCACAGTACGCACCCACCGGGTTTTGAACACAGGACCTTCTGGTTACAAAGCGAGCTCGTAAACCATTGAGCCACTGGGATCCGATCCAAAGGCCCATGAATTCTAACTTCTACCAATTCACGACATAGCGCGACCATTTCGCAATGTCTTCTTCGATGAGTTACTGCCTCATCTTCAACCTGCTGTACCTTACTGGTCACGGCTTCCCACTATCAATTTTCGATAACTTCTTCTTCAGACTCTACAGTTATATGACCACAAATATTAGAGGACAAATAGCCATTAAAGTCATGTGGAAATTATATCAGAAACTGTATTGTTGGGGTACATGTATAATATGGAGTGATAGTCCAGTGTTAAGCCCTGTCAAGTGAAAGTATATGAAAAATATGCAGTCATTCGGAACATAAGATTGTGTGAATAGACAAAAGGGTGACATACCGATGTATAGTTAATAGTCAAAGGAATATGGTTTCATTGGACGGTGGAAGGGGGGTGAGTTTAATTCAATGGTGTGAGGGAAAATAATCACCAATACATACAAAAACTGTGAATACTGAAGTGAATGTAAGTTCAAGCAAGGGCTGACAGGTATCAAGTGTAGTGATAATATAAAGAGGTTAAACTGTGAACTGTAATGAAATACTGATGAAGAGTCCCAAACTAGGACGAAACAGCTGTCCAGTACTCCCAGGTTTTCCGATGGTTCTCTAACTAATGTCAACTCATGATGAAAATCCTGTAACCAATCAAATCCCTACAAACCAACACTTAAATACTAGAAACATTATAATATATGTGTTAAGGCAAGAAAAAGTGGCATTCAAACACACAAACTAGAAACAAGCTTTGTCGGTTAAAGGATCCTGCGGAGCCTTTAAAACAAAACAATTTAGTTTATCTAATACCTTGCCTGCAATGATTATCAGGTGAAATACATAGGTCAAACTAGTAGAACGGGGGCAGTCAGACTAGCCGAACCTAGCAAAATGTAGATTGGTTGACCCGAATAAGATAGGAAATCTAGAGAATAGTTCAGCTATAGCACTACACTACATGCAGTTACACACAACCATACAATAGGATGGGATAGGATGACAGTTTTAAGATCTATTGTCAATGGGTGGAGGGAGAGATTGATAACAGAAGCTTTGTTTATCGAATCAACTGAAAATACATGTAATAGGAATGATTCAACACTTGTCCACGCGGATATCTGGAAAATTCTACTACCCCAACGACGACAAATAGGAGAGGACAAAGAAAACTATAAAACTCAGGTTTCAAAGTCATGTGATTACAATTGATATGACTATGAACAGTAATAAATTTTGTTCGAAACGTCATCCAGTAAATAATACTGTTTCACTGTGTGATACATCTGATGAACAAACTAATATGGAAGAGACATAATAAGCCTAGCACAAATATATATGAATAACAATACACAAAATAACCAGTTCTCTCATGTGTGTGTGTGTGTGCTAAAGTTCGACAGGGAGTGGAAATACTAAAGTGCTCTAATATACTGGTGTATAGGATTATGAGTAACAATTGATTATAGATATATGGATGAATAACTAAATAGATAGAGTTGGTTTGTAAGGATTAGATTTGCTTTTTACGAGTTTGACCACAGATTGACATCAACTAGAAAACGACAGGATGAAACAGCTCTCCAGTACTCCACTCCCTGGTTTTCAATGGTTCTCTAAATGATATCAGTCTCTGGCCAAACTCGTAAAATCAAATAAATAGATCACGAGATGATATCATCATTTTGTAGTTTCTCTACAATCACTTTACAACTAACATGCTTCACAATAATAAAATAAAATGCATGACAATTACTCAGTTATATAAAACAATCATATTTAAATAGGTCAAGTAGTCAGTTCATGGGAGGCCAAGGTTGAAGTCTAGTGTTTTTTGTACACATAGTTTAGGATGCATGTGATTAGTCCCTAAACTGCTCCCATCACCTTCAATAACCGACCTCGAATTAGAGTTATGTGAAGTAATTGTGAAGCAGTCATTAATTTTGTGACCAGACATTAACAAGTGCTTTGCAATGGATGATGGTGGGTTTCTACTCAAATTAACTGCATTGGGACTTTCTATGTATCCTAATAACCATTTCGGAACATGTTCTTTTACTACTACTTTACTTCACTTCGGCTATCTCCTACGGGAGGATGAGCCGGCTTCATGAACATCTCGAATCATCGCTACCCAGGCGCGGCGACCTGATGCAAGGTTTTGCGACAAGGTTATCCAATTCTTGTTCCACAGACGGAGTCCGTAGACGATTTGTAGCCCCAGGCACTCCGTATCAGCCTTGACTTTACCAAGCCATGTTTTCAGCTGTCCACCCCTGTGACATCGCCAAGATGGTAATGGCGAGGGATTTAGAACTGATTTGACCAGATCGTCATCTGGTCGGCGCAGAACATGGCCAAACCACCGAAGGCGACGTTGTTGGACCAGTACTGGAATTTGGTTGATGTTGTAGCAACGACGAGAGTCCATGGAGTTTCATGGGAATTTGGTACGAGTGATGTCCCCAGAATCGCTCGGCCTTTTGTTTGAGAGTGCAGCTCTAGCCTTTACACAACCAAGTGTGACCTACAAGGTAGTAGGAGTGGAGTAGGGAGTTCACTATCCATTGGCAGCCGGTGACCGGAGTTCGGTTCATACGCCATTTTGAATGGGGCCAGACATCCAGGACATCCAACAAACCCTTTGTCCATACGTCTGCCAGTGAGCTCTACTGAGCTTCATACGCCAGTCGTTGGAGGTTTGGAATCAGGGTTTAGCCATCTCCTCTAGACTGTCATCCAATGGACAATCTACCCGGTGAAGAGCGCCGGGCATCCGCTTCCGCCCTCTCACTTTGGTGAAAAACACCTCCGCCACGTGAAGCAGTAAGTAGGACTTCCTCAGTAGAGGCTATGTAAGACACCCGGTCATATGGGAGCATTTCAAGAGGTGTGCGGAGGGGTGGCCAACCCGCAGCGCAAGGCACCCCCACCCCCGACCATCCTGAGGCTTTGGAGACATTGAAACATTCTATTGGTTTACCGCAACTGCAGGTGAACTTGTAGATATAGTCTGAAGTAGATAGAGTCTTTCGTCCTTTAATCGTGTTGGTACACGGATCGAAAATGTTGGAGATGTTAGGGAAAGAGGTGTGGTGTAGAATGAACTCTTGATGACTAACCAAAGTCTACGAGCTGTCAACTGCATAATTTGATCACCCTTGAACGGTAGGTTAATAAAGATAGCTTTCTTTGGTACAGAAGCTGTCTTTTTTCAACATGCAGTCTTTCCTTACTGTAACAATTAGCTAATAAAACTGAATGTATAAGTCGAAGCTCATCCATCATTGTGTTACTCGTGCATATTTTAGGGGCACTTGAAAACTAACATTTCATTAGTGAAAGTTTATATTGGATAGGAACAAAACTGGCAAAGTGAAGATATTATCCACTCCATGTCTGCTTACAAAATATAGATGGCTTGATCGTCGTTTCATCGTCTATCCTAATCATTGAAATATCCAAGAAACTGAGTTTGTTATTCGATTCAAATTCGGAAGTCACTCGGATGTTTGGATGAATATGATTAAATACAGTAGTAACAAAGTTTCCAACAGACTTAGTATGATTACCAATAATGACAGTATCATCTACATAATGTTTGTATAGCATAAATTCTCCTAGCATACCTTGCATTTGCTTCTCGAATTTAGATATGAATATATCTGCCAACAGGAGATCAAGAGGGCTTGCCCATCGCAACACCATCGATTTGTTTGTATGCCTATTCTTGGAAAGTGAATCTGATGTTTCCTGAACATGTAAGTAACAGGAACAGGTAATTGCATCCCATTGTTTGTGATGTAATCGCAAGTGAAATCAACAGCTTCACGAAGTGGAACATTTGTGAAGAAAGATTCTATGTCGACTGAGTACAAAACCTTTTTCGATCATCTGTTTCACACATGTCGTCTACTGAAGTTTAGGTCGACATCTATTTATTTATTTAGTTATTCATTCATATATCTAATCAACTGTCCCGCCCGATAACTGCTACCTTGCCGTGGTGGTCAGGCTTGAATGCCGCAGTGACCTAACAAGCTAAACTGGCTGGGACTCATGTCCCTGCAGGTCCTACCATATCAGGAAGGTTGTTTGGATAGCGGTTAGACTAAAAGCAGTTACCATGGGTTACATGGGCTCCAGAATTCAATCGGATCAAATGGCGTATGAACCCATATGGGTCACCGGCAACCATGGGAACGCAGCTCCTGACGCTGCTCCGATGCCTTGCGGATTAGACTCCAAGTCAAAGGCTCGGGGGGTGGTCCCTTAGGAAAACCACCTGCTTCGGTCTGGGCGCCCGGGCAGTATCTCAGCACTCACACAATATTGTGTGGCGCATCTTTCTTGGTGCCATATTGTACCAAGTTTTTCTGCGTTCAAATAAATAAATAAATAAACTAAACAACTGTGACTCATAATCCTATACATAAATATTATTATTGTAGCACTTTAAGTATCTCCACTCACTGTCAAACTTTAACACACACACACACACACAAATACACACACACTAAAGAACTGACTGTTATTGGTTGTACAGCCATTAAAATGAAATCGTCGAAAAGAGAATTCTTTTATGTCTCAATGGGGATCATTAATTTAATTATTGTAAACTACAAAAGGTTGACAAATAATAAGGGTAATAACAGAGTAAAGTGAACCAGGTGAGAAGGAATTTTTTTTCCTTCACGTTCCCCAGAGGAACATAGGGCTTCAAGCTAGTGGCCTGAAGTTTCTGTAGCAGTGTTTATTTTACAGGATGGGGTTGCTAGCCTCTTGCCCAACCTTTCTTCTTTACCAGCATTATTTCTGACTGAGCGAGGTACAGGAGTGCGTCGGCCGGGGATCGAACCCTGGACCATGTGCCTGGTCGGCGAGCGTCCTAACCGCTATACCACCGACGTGAGAAGGAATAAGAAAGCATAATATGACATGAATATATGGATGATTATGTTCCTGCTGATCTTATAGTGGACCAGGGTAAACAAAGAGGAAGAATGTGATTCTTTTGCACACACAGGTCAGGTTCATTCTTATTAATCACTTTAACTTCCGCTATAGCTAAAAGACGTAGTCTTGTGCCTTCAGGTAGATTCATTGCTACTCCATTTACAGCTGCAAATGACTCATCTATTCTGATGTGGTGTTCACTATCTATTAGATGAGACAAAATACCACTCTATTTATTGATTTGGTTACACTTTCTCCAAGCCTAACAGGAACATGTCCACGAGCGCGTAGAAATAAATTCCCCCGAGTTCTACCTATACAGCTAGCTCTACATGAGCACTTGAATTCATATACACTCAGTGATGTGGCCATCTTTAGTGCATTGTGTCATTAACGGTTTTGGTTGAGAAAGTGGTGTGTAGTTCTGCAGCATTGAAAGTTCTTTCAACTGATCTGATCAATTTACGAATTAACATGTCAATGCAGTGACATATTAAGCCGTAGATATTCATGGATGTAAAACTGTAAAGCCTGAGGAGGAAGAATTCATCGAAAACAACTGCTCGCTCCGAATCATCTTGTTTTGATCACCATTAATTGACAGGAAAATGACTCACACAGAGTTGACAGTTCACTGGATGAGACAATAGTTTTTCAGTCTTTTTTTATTCCTTCGCATTTTAAGTAGAACACAGACGGCTACAAGCATGAGCTCTGAAGTTTTTATTATCAGTAATATTCTTTAGATGGCAGATGACGTTGCTACCTTCTCGTCTAACTTCTCCAGTTTTGTGTACTTACTACCTACTGAATAATGAACTATGTGGACTTTAGGTGGGCGATGGCGGGGATTTGAACTCCGGACCATATGAGTTAGAATAGCACCTAAAATCCTAACCTCCAAGGTTAACCAAGCCCATGCTTTAACATGCTTTAATCTCATTGATAACTAATTTGTAACTTCCCCTTCTAGATGAACGGAGCATATCTTATCTTTTGGGTGTCAGGCAATATCGGATAATAATCATAGTTGAAGGCCAGTGTGGTAACCAATTCTTCACCTTGATACAAAGTCTAATCTTCACATGAGAGAGAGAGACAGTCAAGGCGCGATCCGGGTACGTGTTAAACTTTCGACCGACGGATGGACACCTGCAGCTTGCTTAGCTAATCGGTAATGAGACTACTAAAGAAAAATGTTTGAGTGCGACGCTAGCAAGCCCAACTATGTAAATGTATTATCAGTATAAAAACAAAAACTTCGTGCATTGTGGGCACCGAGAGATTTTCCACATAGTTTTTGCAACGGCCGCGATACTCCTCGGACGTCTACACTGAAGTGAACAGTTACCTCAAGAGACCACCCACAAGACTTTACCTTCAAGTCTGACTCAGAAGGAAGTGGAACAGCGTCAGTGTAGCTACATTGCCACGGTTTCCGGCGACCAAAACAAGTTCATACGTTATTTCATCTTATCGGATTCTGTAGCTCATATTCATGGTTTTGCAACTCCAACTCTCCACTAGCTAGACTTGTATACCTGTCCACTAGTCCGATTGTATTCGCCAGACGTTAACATTCGCCTTCTCATTCACTTTTGTGAGGAACACCTCTAACACGAGGCATGAAGGCAGTAAGTAGGACATTCCTGACTATATATAGCAGCATTTCAAGAAGAGATTCAGGTCACTACTCACTTATGGGAGCAAACCATGTCCCAGGTGAGACTCGAACTCACAACTTTCAGATTATGAGCCTGGTGCACCAACTGGCTGAGCTACTAGGGCTCCGAGTTTCTTCAAAAATACAAAACCATAGCTAGTGAAACTACACAGTTCAAGCTTGAAGCAAAGGGATCAGCATGACAAAGCTAAACAAACAACAACATTAAACAGTTAAAAAAGGCGCATTTAACACAACTTACATGACATCGTTCAATATCTTTGCGTAGGGCATCTAAAGCGGCTAGAACTCTTGGATTTGTTGATTTATAACTTCCACTTGCACCACCACTTGCTGAACTACCACCACCTGCTTGTGATCCAGTTGATTCAAATAATAAATTTAAATCATTGACTGCTGTTGTTGATGTTGCTGTTGTTGCTGCTGTACCGGTCGGTGTTAAAATACAATGTCTTGCCAACGTATTCACTATTTTTTCACGTTCACTTAAAACAACCGGAGCTGGTGAAGCTAATTCACTTGTCACATTGTCAGAAGATGAAGAAGGATATGTTGAAGCACCACCTGGAATACTGGATGCGCCAGCACCTACTATCCCACTACTACTACTACTACTACTACTACTACTACTAGTTGGCCCAGGCACAAGTAAGGCGATCTGTGCAAGAGCTAACAATTGTACATCATTATTTAAGGGTAAACTAGATCTAAGTAGGCCAGCTAAACTAACACGAGTAACTATTGAGCCTGTAGGAGTTGTAGAATGTGATTCAGCAGTAGAACTCTGAGAATTCGACGTTAAACTACTAGTATTAAAGCCGGCTGTTATATTACTGCTCAAATCACTACCTGATAACACATTAGATACAACTGAACTACTACGATTTAAAGTCGAGGATGTATTAGTGCTAGAATTATTATCTGAATCAGATTGACCAGTCCCGTCGGCTAAAGAAGATTCAACAGAACCTTCAGTTACATGAGTATTTCTATTGCTGTCAACAAAAGCGGGAGCAGATTGAGGTAGACGAGAAATTCCCAAAACTAGAGCCTAGAAAAACAAAAGGCATATGACGTAGAGCTAAAAGTTATTAAGTGTAAAAATACATGTAGATTCTTTTGTCAAAAATATAAGAAATCAATGTGAAGTATTAAACCAATTTTCTTTTGAAGTGATTAGCACACTCTCTGATAACGGATGAGAAAGAAAAAGAAGAAGAAATATCAAACATTACTGAAACTCTCAAGCAAAACAACTACCCAAGGAACTTCATCAACAAAATCAACACAGACATTAAGTATGGTCGAAAACGCATGCCGAAAACATGGACCTCAACAGTCGTCATTCCATATAGAGCAGAGACGTCAAACGATATCAGAAGAGTACTCAATCAGTTCGACGTTAGAGTTTTCTTCGAAACATCAGACACACTTCAAAGCAACCTTGTCCATATAAAAGACCAAATCCCTAGAGATTCTCTATCTAATTGTGTCTATAAAATAAAATGCTTGGAATGTGATGCGATATACATCGGACAAACATCTCGAGAAATCAAAATCAGAAGAAATGAACACCGTAGAGCCGCTCTGTTCGACCACCGAGAAATCCGGTTGAACTAGAAAAACTTGAAAGATCATCAGCCATAGCTTGTCTACACACTATAGAATCAGGCCACAAAATTCATTTTGACAATATTGAAATAATCCAGTAAAACTTCAGGAATCACAAAGAACGTCTAATATCAGAAGCACTTCATATCAAGTGGAATCCAAATTGTCTCAATAGAAATGGTGGACTAAAACACCTCCCTCCCCCATGAAGTGACAATTCAACACGAATGTGATATGCAAGTTCACTATGTAAACATACTGCTTGCATAATTCGACACACTGATCAAATCCAACAATCTTCACTTGGTTTTTTTATCTTTACCAATTGACCAACTTGACAACGAAAACTGACCCCAGACTGACGAACGATGATCAAGTTAGTAAACTTTGTTTTGATATCATAACAGATGTACTATTACCTTTGTTACTTGGTTTAGTGATCTTCATTGTTATTTTGACTTTCAATATGTCCCTTCAACTTGACCTAAGTCTATTTTCTCACCCCTTAACCCTTTGTTATATATATGCTGAGATTTTGTAAATTCCGGTTTAATAATACTTTGATAAAGCTATTAATGGCATTAAATAGCGAAACGTCAGTAAAAACAATATCATTTTGTTGTTCATTCATTGGGAAATACAAAAACCTTTATTAGAATGAATATCATATACCCAATGCCCAAATTTTTTCAAGCTGTTAGAAGTGAACTTGGTTTGGACATATATAAAGTGATTAGCTACTTCACAACCGATTACAGAGGAGGGTATGACTGACTGACTGATTGACTGGCTGCCTGGTTGACTAAATTTCAACAAAAAACTTGCCACAATCCATGTACACAAAAGATAGAGGTTAAAAGGTTCAAAGAAAGATAATGAGCACAAATGTGAGGGGATAGAGGGGACCATGACACTGAATGAATGTATCCTCGCAATTGAGAACGATTTTGAGCCATGTCTCCAATAGTCTCAAGCCATTGGTGCTTAGCATCTGGAAGACCCTGACAGGGCGACACCTACACCTCCCTACATCACTAAAACTAACTAGCAAAGATTTCCTGGACTGATGACAGGTTTTCATTTGATCACCTTTCACTCTTTTTCAGTCTAATCAAACGATAGGCTTTTGTTACGCCTATCACAATTCGTCATTCATCTACAAGTACTGAACTATTTTACAGCAGGGCTTAACAACACCACTAAATAAAAATATTTATCCATAGCAAAATAAAGGGGACCATCAAAGGCTTAGTGGATTCAAGTAAAATTAAAATAAAAAATACAATGCAGCAACCTACTTGTAAAACCTCTGGACGCCAACGAAACACAACAGACAGACCGTATTTATTATAAGCTGGTATATCTGGATGATGAACTTTTGTTGGTGCCGTAGCAGCAGCAGCAGCAACCGTTGATGATGACGTGATGATGCCAAAGACGACGGTGGATTAGGTGTAGTCGGTTTATTGTGACTGCTACTACCTCCACTACTAGCACGACCTCCACGTGTTTGCGCTAGTGTTACAACTAGTTTTAGCAATGCACGAAGTGTTGCCAATTCATTACGCTCCAAACAAAATAGACAGTGATATTGTAGAATAAGATAACCTATTGGGTGGGCTAAATAACCAGGCGGTATAGTGATACTGGTACATTGAGTAGCATCTAGAATAAAATTTGAGTGAGAAGACAAAAATAACAAGTGAGGCAATAAAAAAGAACAGAATGGACAATAACATGGAAGAATAGATATCATTATTCCATTAGGTTCCATGTAGAGTATGAGGCTGAGACACAACACACTCGCACTTCACGCTGTTCGCCGAAGTCCTTCTTACCTCCTCTTCCACATATGATCCCCTCCATACCACCCTCACAGTCCCAGTGGATGATTGGTCGACGAGCTTACAACGTAACCGGAAGGTTCTGAGTCCAATCCTCCGAGGGTGGATGGGTTCATAGCTAGGAACTGGAGAAAAGTACTGGATGGTCGAGCAGTCTGAGGTGCTCGACTCAAGTTCTCAACCACGATGTAGGCGTCGGTTTGAACTCTACTTCTGACGCACACTTCAAGCTTTCCTAGTTTACCAGCCGATATTAAGCCCCTTTAAAGAGAGAAGGTAGGGTGTGACGATAGAGACCCAGGATAAACAACACAATCACTCTACAATGCCTGAAATAGACATCATTGAAGCACATAATTTTTCTCATTTTTCTTTCAGAATTTTGAGCACATGACGCTTCATTATCACCATCGACAAATTTCTTGAGGGATACGCTTTACTGCACAATCTTAAGAGTACAGGCCACATCGTAAAAGTGATCTCACAATTAGCAACTACAAACAATACCTCTTGACATCAAAATGAAAAATCGACTGGCGTTCTCACAATCTTCTGTATAATCTTCCATACTACTGATTAGTTGAGATGAGCAGTTGTATACCACTCATATCAACACATAGTACCTGTCAACCAGCCAACCACATCAAAGTGATCGACACATAAGGGGACAGCCCCGTTTTGCTCATCAACAGTGTAGCTTATTTGACTCAGCTGAGAAGGCTAACTTAATTCAAAACCATACCTGACTGCCGACAAACTCCTTGGACGAATTGGTAAGACCATACATTCGAATGAATCTTCAATTTACGTATTAATTTACAATTTACACAGTTCGAAGTAATTAGGTTCACCACTAATATGCAGATTGATAATTTGCTTCATCGACAGTACATTACATAGGACGCAATCTCCTGAAAAAAGATTCCGTAATCTTTGACATTTATCCTTCATATTTTTTCTTGAATTGCACAGCGATAGGTAGGCAGGAAGCGAATTAAAAATTTGAAGTTCATATCTTGGAAGAGTGAAACGACGATGACGATGACGACAACGACAAACAACAACAACAATAACGAGAAACGGAGACTTGGATTTCTTGGATTTCTACTGTCGATATATGGATGAAAAACGAGAATGATGCAATGAACATCCTTGACAAGTTTAATGATGCCCATTCAGCAATAAACTTTACCATAGAGAAAGAAAGTGATGACAGTATCTCATTCCTAGACGTCTTCATGGCAAGGAAAGAAGATAGCACACTAAGAAGGAGTGCGTATAGGAAACCTACAACAACAGGTCAGTACACTCATCTTTTGAATTTTGTAACTTTGAAATATAAACATAATTTGGTAATGTGTCTGGTTCATAGAGCTAGGTTAATCTGTTCAAACGACTGCCTCAATTAGGAGCTTAAGATTATTAGAGAATTACTTAGAAAACAATGGTTATCCAGATAAGTTCAACGAGAAAAATATGAATTAATTCACCACCTAGGAGAGTCGGTATGGCAACAGTTCCGAAAAAACCACTGTTCATAGAACTGCAGTTCCTCAGTGACAACATCAGCGAAATAATAACACAGCACCTGAAGAATGCAGTTAAAAGAGAGCTTATTATGCAGCAGAGGTAAGTTGTCTCTTCACAATCATCCCTATTCTACGTTTGAGAAATAAGGATAAACTACCTAAATTTGCCCCTTCTACATATATCTACCAGTTTGACTGCAGCTGCGGAGCCAGCTACATCGGGCGTATAATTAGGCAGGTTCATCATCGTATTTCCAAACATCATCCAGCATGGTTAAACAAGGGACAAACAAGATCTATTCGTAGCTGTATCTCAGCACACCTTGTAGATAGTGAGCATAAGGTTGACGTCAATACTGCATTTAAAATTATTTATCGCATTCCTACTAACCTTAATTTTGCTTTACGAGTTCGTCTTCAACATACAGCTGAAGCAATAGGAATCCACCTGAAGAAGCCAAATCTGAGTGTTCAGAAGAAATTTCTACAGCCACTTTCCTTACCTTGACCATCGTTACATCGATGTATAAACCGAACTACTTCGCCCCCTACCCCTAAACCTTTAAAAATTATAAAACTGATAACTGTCCTCGCCTAGATTACTAGCTCGCTAGTTTTCTCACCGGTCCCAAGCCCGGATAAAGAGGGAGGGTTGGGGTGTGGTGCTAGCAACTCCACCCCCAAAACTTAACTGAATCGCTACAGAAACTTCAACGCACAAATATATTAAAAATACTAAAAATATCAACAATAACCTTATTTTTCTCTGGAATCAGGGAAGTGAAATGATGCAGGCTGGTGAAAGCCTTCGGGAAACCAGTCAGCCGATGTGCCTTCTTCCGATGAACCCAAAAATATGGATGGGGACGTGGAATGTTCGTACAACGTATGAAACTGGAAAGGCTGCCCGTGTAGCCGCAGAAATGAGAAGATATGGAATAGAAGTGTTGGGAATCTGCGAAAGCAGATGGAACGGAAGTGGAAGGTGCCAACTATCAACTGGGGAGACAGTAATCTATTCCGGTTACCCAGAGGACAACCACGAGCACACCGAGGGAGTGGCCATCATGATGTCACCAACAGCAGCCACAGCTCTCATGCAGTGAGAACCAATCTCCTCCAGGATAATGAAAGCTAGGTTCAACTCAAAATGAAGGAAGGTTACAATCATTCAATGCTATGCGCTTACAAACGTCTCAGAACAAGAGAAGAACGAGGATTTCTACAGACAACTACAAACAGTAATGGACAACGTCCCAAATGGCGATATCAGAATCCTGATGGGTGATATTAATGCGAAACTGGTAGGAGACAATACAGGAAGAGAACTCACCATGGGTCGTGAGGCCCTCGGTGAAGTGAACGACAATGGTGAACTCTTCTCAGACTTCTGCGCCTTCAATGATTTGGTGATTGGTGGCAGTGTGTTCAAACACAAGGATATACACAAGGCGACATGGATTTCACCAGATGGACACACCGAAAACCAGAAAGACTTCATTTCAATCTCAAGGAAGTGGAGACGGAGCCTACTGGACACAAGATCGAAGAGAGGAGCAGATGTGGTTTCGGAACACTATCTAGTACAAGGGACTTTCAAGGTGAAGCTAAAACCCTCGAGGATACCTGGGGATAGGCCAAAATGCAAGCTCAACACTCAAAAACTGAAAGACACAACCACAAAGGACGCTTTCACTGCAACTGTGAGAATAAATCAGGAAATACTACGTGACATCAATGAGGAATCATGCGAGGAAGACCATTGGAACTCTCTGAAGGTAATTTTCAACGAAACGTGTTCAACGATTTTAGGAAGAAAGAAGAAACAATACAAGGAATGGCTCTCAACGGACACTTGGAAGCTAATAGAGGAGAGGAGAATGGTGAAAGAGAAAATGATTCAATGCAAAGATGGACAAGAGAAAGAGACGCTGAACTCAACTTACACAGCACTGGACAAAGAAGTGAAGAAGAGTGCTAGGAAGGACAAAAGACAATTCTACGACAATCTGGCCATTGAAGCTGAGAAGGTAGCAGGCAAAAGAGACCTGAGGACATTATATCAGATAACCAAGTCTCTATCCGGGAAGAAATCAACACAAGTGAAACCTATAAAAGACAGCCAAGGGAACCCAATTACCACGGAAGAAAGACAGATTAGACAATGGGCGGATGACTTCAAAAGACTCTTGAACCGACCACCACCTGCAACCCATCCAGAAATACCAACAACAGCGCGTACACAACTGCAAGTTGACACCAATCCTCCAACGAAAGCTGAAGTCTTGAATGCAATCAAGCTTCTGAAAGCTGGAAAAGCAGCTTTACCAGATGGAATACCCCCGAAAGCACTGAAAGCGGACCCAGAGACGACAGCAGATACGCTGACTCCATTATTGCGAAAAGTCTGGAAGGAGGGCAAGGTGCCTACTGACTGGAGGAAAGGTTACCTTGTGAAACTACCAAAGAAGGGCGACCTAGGACTCTGCAAGAACTGGCGAGGAATCATGCTACTGTCGACGCCAAGTAAAAATCTGAGTCGCATCATCCTGGAGAGAATAAAGGACGCACTGCATACAGAATTCCGACCAGAACAAGCTGGATTCAGGAAAGGCAAATCATGTTCTGTCCAAATTGCCACTCTACGCATCACCATCGAACAAAGCATGGAATGGTGATCACACCTCTACCTCAACTTTATAGACTTTGAGAAGGCGTACGACAGCGTTGACCGCGAAGTAATTTGGAAACTACTCGAGTACTACGGCGTACCCCAAATATTCATCAACCTTATTCAACAGCTGTACGACAACGAAACATGTCAAGTGATCCACAACGGAAAACTCAGCGAGGCGTTTGGAGTAAACACAGGAGTCAGACAAGGGTGCTTATTATCACCAATGATATTCCTAATTGTGGTGGACTGGATAATGTGTCAGACAGTAGGAAACGAGAAGACAGGGATATCCTGGACCGATGTGAAGAACCTAGAAGACCTGGATTTCGTGGACGATTTATGTTTGATGTCACACAAAATCGAAAACTTACAAGCGAAAACCGACAAACTGGTCGAATAATCAGCAAAGACAGAACTCCAGCTGAACAAAGACAAGACGGAGGTTATGAAAATAACCAACCAGTAACAACCACAACAGCAGCAACATCCAGCGTCAATCACCATCGACGGGAGGGATTTGAAAGAGGTTACTTCATTCACTTATCTAGAGAGTATTGTCTCAACTACAGGAGGAACGGACGGGGATGTCAAATCGAGAATCGGGAAGGCGAGAAACACATTCATCAACTTCAAACCAATCTGGAAATCTTCGTCACTCAGCATCAACAACAAAATTCGGATTTTCAATACAAACGTCAAATCAGTTCTTCTATACGGATCAGAAACTTGGCGGGTCACAAAGAATATTTTCAACAGCCTGTTGCAGACCTTTATCAACAACTGTCTTTGTTCTATACTCAAGATTAGAGGGCCGGAAAGAATCACCAGCAAGAAACTATGGGAACAAACAAAACAAGGACCAATCGCCCAACAAATATGCAGAGGAAAGTGGAGATGGATTAGGCTGTCGCTAAGGAGGCCGTTGGGTGACATCGCGCGTCAGGCCCTTGAGTGGAACTCGAAGAGGGAGTGGCAAGTGGGTCGTCCAAGGGTGACATGGAGGAGATCGTGTGAAGAAGAACTGAAACAGTATGGATTAACATGGATGCAGGTAAAAAGTACAGCAGAAGACAGAAAGCAAGTGGAGATGTGCAGTTGAAGCCCTATGTTCCACTAGGAACCCAAAGGAACAATAATAATAATAATTGTCCCAATTATTTTATTTTTTCTGACTACTTCATTTTTAATTACATGTTATCCTTGTACAATTATTTTATTTCTATGATCACTTCAACCTTAGCTACAAATTATAATTGTCTAAATAGTTTTATTTTCTTTAACAATCCGTTACGCAATCAACCTGTGTACACGCTTATTCCTTAATTACTCTTCATTTCCACTCGGTAATAGGCCCGGTAAAGGAATAAAGTTACGTATGCGGCTAGTAACCATGCCCCGTAAAAAAGTCACCATGGAGCTGCTGAAACTTCAAAGTTCAAGCTAGAAGTTCTGTGTCCCACTGGGCGTGCGAAGGAATGAACGTAGATAGAACTTAGCAAGACACATAGAAAATCCCAATGTAATTTAATCTGAATAGAAATAGAAATCTATCATCACCTATTGCAAAGCATTTATTAATGTCAGGTCACAAAATCAATATTGATCAATGATTGCTTCACAATCATCTCACCACATAACTCTAATTCAAGGTTGGTTATTGAAGGTGATAAGAGCATTTTGGGGATTAATCACATACAGCCTAAACTATGCGTACAAAAAACAATAGACTTCAACCTTGGCCTCCCATGGACTGACTACTTGATCTATTTAAATATGATTGGTCATTAGTATGTACCTTTGTTTTATATAACTGAGTAATTGATATGCATTTTATTATATTATTGTCAAGAGTGCTAGTTGTAAAGCGACTCTAGAGGAACTACGAAATGAAGATATCATCACGCGAAATTTATCCTCTAAATGCTTGATTGTTTTGAGAGCTTAAGATGTTCGAGAGATAATATAATTTACCTTTAATACGTTTCTGCCAAACCAATGGTGGGGGAGGCGGTGGATTAATTGATTCTCTTGACGATTCATGGGATGATGATGATGATGGTCGTTGGCTGGATGCTGAAACAGTCCCACCTGAAACTTCTACACCAGTTGACCATACACTATTACTTGCAGTTATGATTTCTTCAGCTACTTGCGCTTTCCATGTGGAAACTTGTAGTTGAGCAACAGCTGGTAGAATATAACTAATAAGCGCCTTAGCTGGACAGTTTAATACGGGATCTTCTGAAGACGCTGACACTGATGATGAAGGCGGTGGTGCAGTACGTTTACCACCTCCGTGTGCTTCTTTACTTTTTGAAGATTGTAGGCAAGAATGTGGAACCAAATCATCGCCTAAACCAAGTACTAACAGATGAACAAGTAAGTGGACTTCTGGTATATCCTGAAAGAAAAAGAGGATCTTTTATAGTTATTATAATAATAATCATAGTAATGTGCGTAGGTGGCTTAACGGTAGGATGCTTGGCGGCAAACACTCATGTGCTCCAAAGCTCGATTCCCGGCCGACGCAATCCCAATAAACTTAATTTAGTAAGTTCGGTGAAACATGAGGGTTTTGAAGCTTCAGCTTTGAATATTCAGTAGCAGTTGTGTTATTCACGGGGTAAAGTCGCACGTGTCACACCCAACCTTCTCTTTTTATTTGCCTTACTAAATGGGTTTAGCATAAATTAAGGAGTGCTTCAGCGGGAAGTTGAACTGTTGATATGAAAAAAAGAAAGAGGAGACGAGGCGACAAATTGTAAACAAAGGAAGAAAGTCTTTATTCATCTTCCTTACAAAGGAGAAGTAGTATCCTTCCTCTAAAGGATGTCCACTTTCCCCTTTTCTGTTTAACTTCATCATAGATATGCTAATGGAAGTATCCTTAACTGAACTTAACGACTTAGGAATCGACTTGTTACCAGGGAATAGACTTATGGACTTAGAATATGCAGACGACGTAGTCCTGTTAGGGGAGGATGCTGACAAAATGCAGAGTCTTCTGAACACCTTGAGCAGCAATCTTCGTATGTTTGGCATGCGATTCGCCCCTGTAAAATGTAAGATGCTGCTACAGGACTGGACTACGTCAACTCCTAGCTTAGTGATAGGGAGTGAAGTGATAGAACATGTTGACCACTTCACCTATTTGGGAAATTGTATCAGCATCAACGGATTGATCGGTGACGAAATCTCAGCACGGATCCAAAAAGCTCGGGCTGCTTTCGCTAACTTACACCGTCTCTGGCGTAGGCGTGACATCCGGCTATCAACCAAAGGAAGGGGGGAATGCTCAGCAGTTCGCTCCGTCCTTCTCTATGGCTCTGAAACATGGCCAATACGAGTTGAAGACATGAAAAGGTTGACTGTTTTTGACCACAGATGTTTACGATCTCTTTCTCGCGTTAGGTGGTATAATAAAGTAAGTAATGTTGACGTTAGGCGTAGACTGTTGGGCAAAGAGGGAACGTCAATCGACGAGGCTATAAAGTTACATAGATTGAGATGGCTAAGTCACGTGGTGCGCATGCCTAACCATCGCCTCCCCCGACGGACGGGCATTACTAGCTGATATAGGTGCAGGTTGGAAAAGAGTAAGTGGTGGCCAAACAAAAACATGGCCTCATCAATCCATGAAATGCTTGACAGTTAAACTGAGTCAGGTAGGGAGGGAGATGCAGACTTCCGGGTTGGGGCCCTCGGGACTCTAAGAATCAATGGCTGGAGACACTAGGTGGCATGGCTCAAAATCGTTGTCAATGGCTTACGCAGATGTATTCAGTCTCTGCAAACTTTCATATTCCTTTCTACCATTACTCATTCTGTTTCACTCTTATACTTGTCAAAACTCTATTGATTCTCTTCACTCATTTTCTTGTCTACCTTTGTGTGCTCTTTGAAACGTGGCAACTCGAACTGCTGCACTTCGGTGCCAAGTTCTATGTTGAATCCAGCCAGCCAGCCTAAATAATTGACAAAAGAGTCGGGGAAGATGGTTCCCTGCAGTTAAGCTGATATGGCCTGTGATTCAAACTAAATAAAGTCTTCAGAATAAAAAGGAATACTGTTTCACTATTCACAAAAGCTGTGGATATCACGAGAAACTGAAGATAATGTATAATTAATCGTTTAGAGAAATGATGAAAATATGGCATATAGGTGTCTGTAGACAATAGATATGGTAGCTATGAGTTAACGACTCTGTGAATCAGCAGAAACCAGAATTCATTGACCATTGGATTGAGTCCCGATGACCAAATAGTCAACAAGGTCGCCTTACAACAGGAAGGTGGTCGTTGATTCGATCCCTGGTGGATGGGTACTGATGAAAAGTCTCAAAGTAGGACAAAACAACTGCCCAGTACTCCCTGCTGGTTTTCCAATGGTTCACTCTCTCAGTCGAAACCATGGAAACCAGCAAATGAAAGTCTGTTAGTAATTGTTGTGATAAGCATCTAACCATCCTCCATAAGCGGTAAATTCGTCTTGAGTTAGCTAGCTACACAGAAACCATATTTTTTTGGAACTGGTGGCCTCATACTACGGAGAGTGGCCACAAAGACCAAGGTAAGTTTACTGTGAGTCTTTATAATTCGCATCCTGTCTGGTTAGCTCTCTTTTAACAACTCTATTGCTGATGACAACGCATTTTCGTACTAATTTTGTATTCTTATTTCTTTAACAGAATGAAGCATACTGTGTATAAAGGCAAATCTTCCTCTGCCTTGCCTACTGAAGCTGGGATCCCTCAGAGTGCTTTTCTCTCTCCTGTTCCTTTTCTTTCTTCTTACGTGACTTACGTGACCTCTTTTGGATGAATCCAACTCTGGTGATCTGACTGTCTCGTTATCAGTTACTTCCCGAATAGCTTTTTGTAGGATATCAGTCAGTAGTCTAAGACAAATGGTCTTAAGTTAAATTCCTCCAAATGCCAAACAAGCACAACTATGATCTACACGAGCTGATTCGTTCATATGATGTTTGTAACACATAGAAACTAATTCAAGCACCAAATACTTTGGGATATTTTTTTCCACTAACCTTTTATGGTCATCCTGTGTCTTGTTGATTTCTAAGAAAATATTCTGCCGTCTAAACTTATACACTAAGAAGTTATGTTAATAAGGAATCACTCAACCTATAGGTCCACCGTTCGTTAACTCTTCCGTCTTACCTACTGTTCTTTATTGCTCCCACTTATTCTTCCCTGGGCTACTCAAAAAAAACTGTGAGATATTTTGAAGGGTATTGAAATTTGTGAGTTGGTTAGACAGGTAGTGTGCCATTAATTCAGGCAGCTCGTTACCATTGTAGTCGACAGACACTTAGAATCATGAGAGAATTGAACTAAATCCATAATGAGCTGACATTAGTTAGAGAATCATTGGAAAACCTGGGAGTACTGGACAGTTGTTTCGTCCTAGTTTGGGACTCTTCATCAGTACGCACCCACTGTGACCCAATCCAATAACCTATGGTGTACGAGCTCGCCTTGTAACCAGAAGGTCCTGGGTTCGAATCCCGGTGGGTGCGTACTGATGAAGAGTCCCAAACTAGGACGAAACAGCTGTCCAGTACTCCCAGGTTTTTAATTGGTTCTCTAACTGGTGTCAGCTCAAGATGAAGTCCTGTAACCAATCAAATCCCAACAAACCAACACTTAAATCCATAATGTCTGACTCACACCACCTTCTCTATTCACAACTCTCCCTGCACTGCATTTCATCAAGTAAGACTAGAAGTCATTATAAAAGATTATTCGCTCGTACAACTATGTACAGAAACTCAAACACAATCTATTTGGCCGGCGTTCTATGTGATAGAGATAATGTAAGGCTTGAAACCTACTACTTACTATGTTATTAGCAAAATAAGTGGCTCTTTTATCCTTTTCTATTTGTAATCTATGGCGACATTATTCCGATCAAATTATGAATTTAGCTATTAACATTATGATCATTATTTTACACTTTTTGTACATTTCTGACTTTGTTGCCATCGCCAATACCATAAATCTGCCATTATCAATCCTGATTACGTATACTCTATGACATTATTTTTTGTTTTGCTTTCGCAATTGTCGAGTAAATTTTTTTTGTTCCTTCACGTTCCCAGTGGAACATAGGCGGCTTCAAGCTAGAGGCTTGAAGTTTCTGTAGCAGTGTTTATTTTTACAGGATGGTGTTGCTAGCCTCATGTCCAACCTTTCCTCTTTAGCTGCTTTATTACTGGCTTAGTGAGGTAAAAGAGTGCGTCGGCCGGAGATCGAATCCCGGACCATGTGCATGGTTGGCGAGTGTCCTAACCACTGTGCCACCGAAGCAGTTGTAGCAGCGTTCCAATGATTTCCGGCGACCAAAATACGTCCATACGTTATTCGTTTCGGTCGGCTTCTGGAGCTTACGTTCACTGAAGGTCTGGTGTGTAAGGTTCTCCAACTCCCGTGCCTAGGTAGACCGGCATATCCAACAACTCAGTTGTAAACGTCAGACATTCAGAGTCGCTCTTTCCCTTTTGTTAGGGAATACTCCTGCCTCCCCGCGTTAAGGTAGTCGACTGGATTCACCTGGCAGGGGATATGAACGCGTGTGACCAAATAAGAACATTTTGAGAAGAAGAAAGAAGTCTGCCGCCCACTCCTACACCCGTCGGTCGTACCAGATCGTTTGTTGCGGCACACAAAGAAAAACACGTAAAACATTTAAACAAGCTCATTAGTCGTTAATGAAATAAAATAAAAGCTTACACGAGGTACTTTATCTTCATAAAGTCCATGCAATACATAACGAATCAAAGATGTACAAATGGTGTATACAACCCATGGATCTCGACAAGCCATATGCATATCTCTGAAAAATTATACAACAGACAACAAAATGAAAGAAATCGATATATATATATATATATGTATATATTGATGTCATATTCTCACAAAAGGTGCGCTAGTGACAGCTATAATCAGTGGGATGAGAAAATGAGTTCAGTGGTAAAGGCAGGTATCGGCTTAGAACTTTGGCCCCGAGTTTCGTGCTTGTTGGCACTCACCAGTCAGCACGGCAAGTGTATCTCCATTCTTGAAGCGACACGCATCCCTTCTGAGATTGGAAGCCGAGTCACCCAGTGCTACAGTCAGACACTTCAAAGACTGATAGAATTCAGCCTGCACCGACCCAAGGACTAAACGCATGACATTAATTACTCCTTAGCAAAGAATAATACCGTATAGCCTAACCAAGAATAAAGACCTACGAGTGACAAACAAGCGACAGTGGTGTATCGCAGTTCTACATGATATTTCAATGCAGTCCACCGGATTCGCAGACAATGGAAGCAAGGAAGGGATACAAGAGACGCTTAACTACTCAGTCAATTGGGGGGAAAATACAACACATACGTGGACAAAAAGTAAATCTCGCTTACCTTTCTAACAAATTTGCATCACATAATCTACCACCTGTTTCATTTGCATCACAATTCTTTTCTGCAGCAGCATTTGAAGGAGATCGTTTACGACCACTTTTGGAACTTTTGGCATTTTTCCCACGACAACGTTCAGATTCTTCGTGAACCACCTCTTGTTTCTCATTAGCCGCTGCTGCTGCTGCCTCTTTTGCCCATCGACGACGTTGCAATTGTAAATGATAAGCTAATTCACTAGCATGTCTTTGATCGATTCTACGATTCCGTACACATGCATCTAAACACCACACAAACCGATGTATCCTATCCGGAACGCATAGCCTATCTATCTTAGCCTCATTTAAACTCATCAATAAATCGAAACGTAATGTACATAAGGTAGCTGAAGCAACTGACGGCTGATTTGGCATAAAAGCTAGTGGGATATACGGGATAGATGGATTACTATTACTATTGGGACACTGTGTTTCTGGAGGTTTCTCTCTACTCGACGTACGATGTCTGCTTCGTTTAGCCGACGGTTCATCTGTTTCATCTACTGAACTGTTGCCGGTGGCAACCCCTTTGATTTGTTGTTCCAAAAGTGAAAATGCTGATTTCTCATGTTTTGTACATTCTTCCCGTAGAATACTTATAGTCTAAACCAAAGAAAACCAAAAATGCAAGTGAACTGAAAACAGAACGAGCGAATTATATATATATGTATATATATATATATATATATATATATATAACATTGCCAACTCGCTTCATTTAAAGAACCATTGAAACTGAAGGAGTACTGGAAGCTGTTTTGCCCTAGTTTAGGACACTTCGCCAGTGTATGCACCCACCAAGGATCGCAACCACAACCTTCAAGTTACACAGTCTGCCCTTCAACTATTCAGCCATTGGGACGAAATCCAATGCAGTATGAATTTCAACCTCATGTCAATCGAATCCCTGAGAACCAACACTTGAAAATTATTTAGTCCACACCAGTGAATGACTATAAGATAAAGTTGGCTGAAATTTCAGTGGGAAGTCGTCATCAGCGGAGTTCACTAAGTTGGACGTAAGGACAAACACGCAGACCAATGACATTAGTTGGAGGTTGCGCTACACATCGTAAATTAACAGGAAGTATAAAATTCATCGGCTACTGGATTCCATCCCAGTGATTGAATGGAACATGAAGGTCACAGGTTCTACCTCTAGCGGGTACGTCACAGGCTCGTACTGATGAAGAGACCCAAACAAAGACGAAGCAGCTGCGCAGTACTTCCTGATTTACAATAATTCTCCAACTAAGTGACGTAATATTTCCTACAAGTCACTTAAATATTGCATTAAATGAGTGTTATTCTAGTTCTGTGTGATGCTACAACATTTTCACATGAATTATATTCCTAAACGCTGGGTCAAACAATGCAAATAATTGTCAACAGACTTCTTTTCATTATGCTGATAGTACGGTGAGTAATAAATTTCGTTTACTGTCAGCTGTTAACAGTTCTTTAATTGTATGTATAACGGATGATAATTTCAAATCCACTTGTTGCTACCTACCTGATAAACACATCTATCTACCGATTCCCTTCTTCCCTGGTATAACCAAAGACGATTAGACTACGGTCCTCCTCTCAAAATGCTGCCATGTGACCACATACCTTTATAGCCTATGTCACGTAAGTCCTATTTCAATGGCTTCATGTGGCAGACATGTTTCTGACAAGTCAAATGCTCAGACGGGCTGGCCTTTTAAGATATTCATACGCGCTTCAGTGTGAGCGTCCAAGCCCTCTTACAACGTATAAGATTTTCGGTGACACATCTCTTGGTGTCCATTATGTACTAAGTTTGTCTTAATATTAATAACAATAATAAATTCTGGTGAGTTAATCGGAATACTAAGCAGCAATACTGACATCTAATTTACCCTAATTGGTTTACAGGCTTTAAAATTCCCAAATAACCTCGTTTATTGTTCGTTCCTAGAAACACCTAAATATATAAATCTGGTGAAAAAACTTCTCAGAAAAATAAAATATTTAACAGAATCATACAGCTAATATATTACTTCACCACCAAATCAATTTCTATAGAAGATCAAAAACATTCAAGTGGATGGTGATGGTGCCGTTTGATGATGGTCACAGCAACATACACTTTAAATGGTCCAAAACTAGCAAAACAAAATCTACGCAACAACTAGTTTATAGAAACCATTTGAAAAAAAAAGATATATAGCACACGAAACAACACAATCTCTCCATTTAACACTATGCAAACCAAAGGACTCAGAGGGCCAATACAATTTACAAAGTAAAAGTCCCACCCCCACCCCCTCCTTCGACTCAGAGTACAAGATTATAAACTACCTATGAAAAGACATGACACGTTTTGTTTCATATCGGTGCGTGTAGATAACTCTATGGAGACTAATTTAACTGTGGTAACATAGGAATTTTAAATAGCAGAAACACCAGTAATGACAAAGAATCCCCAGGAGCCCGGTACTCAGAGGATGAATCAGCGACTAACAGATACACTCTATTACTATGGATGAAAGTTATCAACTCATACAATAATTATATGCCATATTCATAGAGAATGCAAATAAAATAATCACTTCATATTGATGCTTGCGCTGAAGCGCTATTGTCCAGACGGAGGACAACCAACCAATTCAAAGAACACAGTCGCTTTTAGGAAAGATTTGTCTGTCGATGCCCGAACTGTAGGATGAAATGCAGCTAAAATGCAGCAAACACAAACACTCACATGATCAACTATTTCCTCTTCGAATTTTCCAATGCATGAATGTATCTCGTGTGAAAATGAGATACACAAACATACTTATATCACTACTGGCGACCAGATAAACCAATGCTCATAAGAGCTACACCTCGACTAAACGATAAGAATACGCGCCTACGTTGTATGCTCTAAAGCCAAATACATAGTTCGAGGAGGAGGAGGTGAGGCTTCACCACACCTTCCTTTGAAGTTCAAAATTATTTCAATTACAATATATCATCTGCTTGATACTATAAATACTGATCAAGAATGTGAGCATAATCGTGTAAAACTATATACTACTGATTGATTGAGACGAGTAGTGGTATACTAGTACTCAAGACAGGTCAAAGTGATCTAAACATCAGACGGCTATTTCGCCCGTTTAGAACCACGCTCATCATCGGCTTTTACCCGGTTTCACTCAGCTCAGAGAGCTGAATCAGTTCAAACCAATCGACTTCTAGCTAGCAACTTAAGTGAACTGGTAGCACCTTAAATCAAATTCATGAATTTGCAGTTTACACTGTTCTGCTCAGCCCATATTCTTAAAAACACAACTCTGTAGAGCGTAAAAAGTGAGTTACATCCCATGAGATGCAAGCAGCTTATACCGAACAAGAACGTGCAATGGATGTAATCATTATATCAGGTGACTTCACTAAAATAGAAGCCCCTATAGGTTCCATTCTAATAACCATATAATTGTTCTTCTACTTACCAATATCATCTAATACTAACTAATGATTGCTTCGTTGCCGGTGATTAAGGAGTAAAATGCTCGCCAATCATGCCACAAGTGGGTCTAGGGTTCCATCCATGACCAACGGATTCACCTAACCCCGGTAAATAAACCCTGTAAAGAGGGAAGGTTGGAAGGGTGTGGCGTCAGCAACCTCAGTCTGTCGAAACAACAAAAGCGCTGCTGAAACACTCAAAAGATCAAGGATTCAAGTATTATGTTTGGGTCTCGAACACAAACAGGTGAACAAGGGATGTTAACAGATGATTAGAATGAAAGAGCCAACGAATACATATACGTATGGATACTCAGTGAGTCGCAGTAACGATGAATGAATATTTATTCCCTTCATTGTATTCCTTCGCTTCCCGAGTGGAACATAGAGCTTCAAACTTGGGCTTAGAAGTCCCAATAGTGATATTGTCTATTTTTTAGGAGGTGGGATAGCCAGTCACTCACGCCCAACCTTCACTTCTTATTGGGCTTACTACCAACTAAGTGTGTCGAACCCCGGATATATATATATATATATATATATATGTCAATTACCTTATCATATAAGACTTGACCTTCTCCAATCATTTCAACAATTCTTATGATTGATGGATCACGTCTACGCCGACGTGGTGGCCAATACAAGATGGGGACAAGATCTGCTGTAGTCGTTGCCGTTGACATAATTGACATTGAAAGAGCATCTAAAATAGCAGAAGACCAGGTGGACTGAAATGTTCCCACAACTTTATCCAATTCCTCTTGAAATCTATTACAAGAAGAAAAAACATAAGGAGAGGTATTTTTTACACGAACAAAAAAAGAGGAAACCAGTTTTTTCGGCTTGTATCTAAGCAAGCTAAACAAAAACGTCAACTGAATTGAAAAAGAACAATAATGCAGTAGAATAAAGAGAAAAGCGGAATAAAATAATATTAATGTCACATTAATTGGAAGACCTACAGGCGAAAACCAACAAGTTGAAGGAAGAAGCAGGAAAGATAAGACCTCAAAAGCAAAATAGAAAAGATACGGGTGATGAAGATACCCCGCTACTAGTGAAAACCAGCACTGCTTTCACTGATCTGGTTAGGCAGCATCATTCCAACTACGGGCAACACGGATGAGTCACAGATCGTCATATTTCTTGACCTAAAGACAGCATTCAATTCTGTCGACCAAGAGGTACTCTGGCGATGTTTGGCTATAAAGGGAGTGCCGAGGAAACACATTGCACTGGTCAAAACACTCTACTCAAATTCATGCAGCCAGGTGAGAGCTTACGGTGAGTTGTCATCTGAACTGGTGACAACTAGTAGTGTCCGACGGGGGCTTGACCCTAACTCACTTCAGCGACACAGGGATTGACTTGTTACCAAGGAGTGATCTCGTTGACTTAGAATATGCAAATGATGTAGTCCTCCTAGGTGAGGACGCTAACATAATGCATTTATATATATATACATATATATATATGATAGAATACTGATGACTTACTTGTGAGGATGTGCGACCCAAATATGACGCAGAACGGGTAGTGGTGCATCATCATACAAATATTTATTGTCAACAATTAAATTAACATGTCTTTCTTTAATTGAATTCATTTTGCCAAGAACCTAAGCAAAAGAGAGAAAAGATAAGTAGCATATCATCGTTATGATAAAAATGTCTTTCATTAAAATAATCCCATAAATATTGAACACCCTCTGAGTCACACACAAAGGTAGACAAAAGAGAGAGAGAGAGAAAATAAAGAAATTCAAAATGACTATGGTAAACAGAAATGTGAGGAGGAAAGAATGGTAAGATGGAAAACTAAGACATTTTAATGGGTATGGGAAATCACAGAGAGTGTCACTGAAAAAGGTTTTGATCCATATCACCCATTAGTCCTTAGTCATTGATTCCTAGCATTCTGAGGACACCAACTAGGCAGCTTACACCTGCCTACATGGCTGGCTCAAACCGACTATGTGCAG